GTCTCATTTGGAAAGGGAGAGTTGTGATCTACTTTGTATTATTTTCCTTTATTATTAAGAACTGGAGGGTAGATATTTTGTCTTTAGTTGTTTGTGCTTTTTTATTCATTTAATAATAAATACTTAGGTGATTGAATGAATTGGTAAAGAAATACAATAGTGTTCAAGGTATGCTTCAATGCAAACAAATATTAGGATATAATCTAGGACCTAGATTTTGGGTAACAAAGGAGTGTGTGAGGTATGATGTGGTAAAAGATGGAAAGAGGTACCCTACTGCAGCATTTAACATCTATGGTTTTAAAAAATATTTAATACTTAAATTCAGGCTTTAAAATAAAGTTTTATTTTATTTTATTTTATTAGTTTATTTTAGGGAGAGGAAGGGAGAGAGAGAAAAACATCATCGTTAGAGAGAAACATCAATTGATTTCCTCCTGAACATGCCCCAATCAGATATAGAATTTGTCACCTTTCGATGTAAGGGATGATGCTGCAACAAACTGAGTCACACTGACCAGGGCTAAAGTATGGTTTTAAATACCATTATATTGAAGAATTTCATATGGTTCTTGTAATAACATTATTACATGGTTGTTAACTTAGGTTTCTGACTTCCCCAACCATTTGTAAATTTTGAATCCAGGTACTTTCATTCTTTTTCTAAATGTTACTTATCACCAGGAGTGATAAATAGAATGGATATTTCAGAAGTTGGCATCAAATGAATGAAAGATAAACTATCCCCTAAAACATACACAGAGAATTTAACAAAATTATATAAAATGGAGTATTTTGAAGATTCCAAAATGGCAGTGGAGTAAGAGGGTCCTACACTGACACACTCCCAAGACCAAACTGGAACTATAACTAAATTACAGAAAAACCATCCTGAATAATCAACTGAAGACTAGCTGGAGAGAACTCTGATAGCTAAGGACAGAAAGTGGAGACCCCATAGAGACAAGTAGGAATTGTGGAGCTCTGAAATAGCTGGCAGAGCTCCCACAGACAGCAGCTGAAGTTCTAGAAAGATCTCAGCTTTGGGGGGGGAGGGTCCCACTGAGAACTCTGGGTTCTAAACCCCAATCTGGGATCTCCAGTCCAGAGCACAATAAATGAAAAAGATGCCCACTTAACACTTGGCTGTAAAAAAAAAAATCAGGATTGCTGTCTGCCAGTGAGAGAAGGCTGGAAATGCAGGCACCCTCTTAAAGGGTAAATGCACAGAATTTTGTAGCACTCACCTTGGGCTCCAGCAGAGGGAGAACAGAGTGTACTGGAGCTGTGTGAGGAGAATCCAGGGTTGGGGACTCTGGGTTTGGAGCTCAGAGGGCAGTCACCCCTGTTTCCTGGGCTGAGTCATTTCCTCAAGCTATCTTTCTCCAATAGACCTTTGCTATCCAGGCAATTGCCCCACCCTAATAGGAAACTTATTGCCCCAGCCTCTGGAGTTTTTGAGACCCATTAAGAGGCTGAGAATAAAAATCAGCCTTCGGGCAGAAACAATTGCCACACCCTGTTGAAAACGCACTTCACCCTGTGGTCCAAAGCCTGAGGCGAATCCAGACTGAATGCAATCATATTGCAAGCAGAAGTAGATCTCTGGAGGCTTTGGGTCTTTGCCTGGGGCTAGGAAAAACAGACCTTGGTGCACATCTAGTTTCTATCCAAAGGCACCAGACCCAGTAAAGGGAACCACAAGCTTTAAATTGCTGATAGTTCTAAACAGGGTATGCAGGGCCAGTCAGAAACAGCATCTGGCACTGTCCTACACTAGAAATTGGGAGGCATAGTAGATCTACCTAATGCATAGTCACAAACATAAACAGGCAGCCAAAATGGGGATACCAAAAACAATCCCCAAATGAAAGAACAAGATAATTCTCCAGAAGAAGAACTAAATGACATGGAGATAAGACATTTATCAAACAGAGCTCAGAATAATGATGGCAAGGATGCTCAAAAAAAGATAAAGTAATCATGGAAAGTGACATAGCACTAATAAAAAATGCATTGGAAGGAATACACAGCAGATTAGGGAAAAAGAGATTTAAGTCAATAAATTAGAAGACAGGATAGAAAAAAATCAATCAGAACAAAAAATAATAAAATAATACAAAAACAGGAAAACAGCTTAAAGGAGTTGTGGAACAATATGAAACATAACTATTTGCACAATAGGAGTACCAGAAGGGGAAGAAAGTGAGCAAAGGATAGAGAATGTGTTTGAAGAAATAATGGCAGAAAACGTCCCTAACCTGGTAAAGGAAAAAGTCATACATGTTCAGGAGGCACAGAGAGTCCCAAGCAAGAAGAACCCAAACAGGCCCACACCTAGACACAAGATAATATTAGGCAAAAATTAAAGACAAAACAAGAATCTTAAAAGCAACAAGAGAAAAGCAAACTGTTACCTACAAAGGAGCTCCCATAAGGCTGTCAGATTTCTCATCAGAAACTCTACAGGCCAGAATGGAATGATATGAAGTACTCAAGGTAATGAAAAGCAAGGATCTGAAACCAAGCTTACTATATTCAGTAAATCTATCATTCAAAATAAAAGGTGAAATAAAGAGCTTCCCACACAAATACTGGTTAAATTAGTTTATCACCACAAAACTAGCACTGCAAGAAATGCTATAGGGGCTTCTGAGAAGAAATATCTAGAGAGAAACATAGGCATAAAGAATTAAAATGGCAATAAATATCTATACTAGCAACCTTCAATGTAAATGGATTAAATGCCCCAATAAAAGACAATGATGGATACAAAAATATGACCCAATTATATGCTGCCTACAAGAGACCCATCTCAGAACAAAAGACTCACACCAGATGAGAATGAGGGATGGGGGAAAAAAAAGTTTCCATGCAAATGGAAATGAAAAAACAAAAAAGCTGGAGTAGCAATACTCATATCCAACAAAATAGACTTTAAAATGAAGGCCATCAAAGACACAATAAAGGTTACTACATTAAGACTAAAGGGATCGATCCAACAAGAGCATATAACCCTGGTAAACATATTGGCACCAAATATAATAATATCCAAATATATATATATATAAAAAACTAGTATTTTAAGAAAACTTAACAAGGAAACAGTAACTTGAAAGGACACCTGTATCAGGTGGATTTAATTGACATTTATAGAACATTTCACCCCAAAGCTGCAGAATATATTTACTTCTCAAGTTTACATGGATCATTCACAAAGATAGACCACATGTTAAGACACAAAACAATCCTCTATAAGTTCAAGAAGACTGAAATCATATCAGACATCTTCTCATATCACAGTAAAATGAAATTAGAAATCAAGTACAGTAAAAACACCCAAAAAACATTCCAACAAATGGATACTAAATGACATCTTATTAAACAATGAATGGGTTGCCAACAAGGTCAAGAATGAAATCAAAAACTTTCTGAAACAAATGAAAATGAACACACAACAACCTAAAATCTCTGGTACACAGCAAAAGCAGTCCTGACAGGGAAGTTCATAGCAATACAGGCCTACCTCAAAAAACAAGAACAATTAATAACTTATTTAATAACCCCACAACTTAAAGAATTAGAAGGAGGACAACAAGAGAAGTCCAGCATAAGAGAAGGAAGGAAATAATAAAGATTAGAGCAGATATAAATGACATAGAGCCTGAATAAAACAGTACAAAAGATCAATGAAACCAAGACATGGTTCTTTAAGCAAGATTGATGAAATTTTAGCCAGTCTCATGAAGAAGCAAAGAGAGAGGATCCAAATAAATCACATCAGAAAGGAAAGCAGTGAAGTAACAACTGACATCAGAATTACAAAAGATCGCAAGAAAATACTATGAACAATTATATGCCAAAAAACCTGGGAGGAGATCCAAGATTGCTGCCAATGGGACAGCAGGCTGCAAGATAGTGTGTGAGTAAGAGAATGAAAGGAGAGTGTGTGGATGTGCGGGGAATACCTGTTTTTGTGAGTGAGGAACAGCTATATTCCATGGGACTGTTGGGGACTGCTGGACCGACCCCCCCCATGACCGGGCAGCCTCTACTGTGGTTGAAATCTCTTCTGGAGTGGCCAGCTCTGCCGCAGAGACCACGCCATCTTGAAGGGGAGACCAGATGTGATTGGGAGACCAACTGTGATTGGAACCCCAGCCTTATCTTCAACTGGGGAGACATCGGATACCTCCCAGGAACTTACAACAACAACACCCAGGGACTAGTTACCTCAGCTGCAAACCCACGAATGCCAGAACTCCAGCCTCCCCAACCGCAGGAGCCTGAGAGATTTGCTCAGGGGGAGACAAAGCAGCGCAGAAAATGTGGATGGGCCCTGCGCCTTCTCACAGAGCAGATAGGAGGAACAGCTGAATCAAACAGCACGCATCCAGAACTGGCGAATTAAACATAGCTGGTGAGGCAATCCACAGATGGAAAGGTCAGATACTAGAGAAAGGTGAGGTCTGGGAGCCAGGCTGGAGGGAGAAACGGCCGCAGCAGGCACTAAAATTTGCAGCCCTTAGGATCAGTGTAGCCCTCGAATGTGGAAGGGGGTCCAAAGGGCTGCTGGCAAAAGGGAACTCTAGATATTAACCCACAGCTGGACTGGTCCCAGAAAGGTAGCCTGAAGTCCTGTACTGGCTGCGCAGAGCCAGGGGGAAAAGACATGCACAGAGATGCATGCAGAGGCTCATGCAGAGATGCACGCAGAGACGCACACAGAGCCAGGGGAAAAGTCATGTGCAGAGCCAAGGTAGAGAGGCCTTTTAGCCCCAAATATTAAGACAGAAACACTGCCCCCCAAGAGTTGTATCAGAAATTGACTCGTGTGTAAATACAACTAAAGACATGCTGAGAACCAAAGAGAGCAGAGAGATCCCACCTGCTTGAAAACAGGGTTATGGCTTTTTTTTTCATTCATGAGATATTTATTAAAATAACACATTTAGGGGGGGAAATCAATATAATGTATACATCATTACCGAAAAACTGTATACCATCATACAAAAAAGGATTTTATTTTGGGAAAGCGATTCCTAATTTATGGCAAGTTTTACTTTCAGAAATAAGACCACAAAACAACACAATCTAATTCAATCTTAAAGGCTGGCATGCTGAGCAAGGAATGTTCTTATTCTTTGTAGAAGCTCCTTCTTTACACTGTAATGTACCAGGGCTCTGCCTTTTGGTGTGATTTCAGCCACCAAGTCATCAACAGTAACGTGTTCTAGTCCTTTTTCTTTAATTACCTCTTATGCAAAAGCAAAAAACAAATCATATCATTTAAAATCATTATCTGTAAGAAAGATTTTCATAGAGGAAGAAAAACAACACAATCTAATTCAATCTTAAAGGCTGGCATGCTGAGCAAGGAATGTTCTTATTCTTTGTAGAAGCTCCTTCTTTACACTGTAATGTACCAGGGCTCTGCCTTTTGGTGTGATTTCAGCCACCAAGTCATCAACAGTAATGTGTTCTCGTCCTTTTTCTTTAATTACCTCTTTACAGTGTGCCTTCAATTGATCCTTCCAGCCACATTCAATTAATTTAGCTCTCAGCAACTCTTTGAGGCATTCTCTTTCTCCAGTTTCTATCAACTTTTGGTTAATCGCTGCTCTCATCTGCACATCTTTGTTCATCTTGCTAACCACACTCTTCAGCTGCCCAGACTTAGACCCTCAGTAGCTCAGGCGCCTAAGCACACAGAAAGCTAAAACATGCATTTCCCTTTTTTTTTTTTTTGAGTTACTAATATATCTTTAATAAATGTCCAAGAATTTATGAAATATAAATTAAAGGAGAAAAATACTTAAAAAAACAAGTTTCTCTCTGTCTTTTCCTCTCTCATCCACTGTCCAAAAGAATCAATGTAAAAATATCCTCGGGTGAGGATTAACAACAACAAAAAGAATAACTATCAAAACAATGAGTTACTAATATATCTTTAATAAATGTCCAAGAATTTATGAAATATAAATTAAAGGAGAAAAATACTTAGAAAAACCAAAGTTCTCCATTAAAATGAAATGTAAAACCATGGTTACCAGGAAAGCTGTGGATTGCAAGGAACTTCAATACTGCGCTGACTACCTGAAAGGAAACAGACGTGCCAAGCAGAATAGTAGAGGAATTGAATGACCTTCACTACTTCACATTTTTATTTTTTATCTTTTACTTAAGAAATTAATTTTTTCTCTCACTTGATTTTACCTTGTTTGTTATTGTATTTTTATTTTTAACTATTGTTATTAATACTATTATTTTACCCCTTCTTAAAGTTTTATTTTATGTCATATTTTATTTTATTTTGGGATTAATGTTCTACATTCTATTTTTATTTTCCCTTTAGTATTATTTTACTCTATCTCAATTTTTCCTTTATGCCAACACTCTTCCTCATTTTCCTCTTTTTTGTTTTGTTTCTCTTATCCTGTCCCTGCTTTAGTTGTTCTCTATCCTTTCTTTTTACTCCCTGTTAAAAATTGATTTTACTCATATATCTAATTTCTTCTCCCCTGCTCCAAGTCCATGCACACCTCTCTCTTCTCTTTCTTCACTATCCAAAATATTTTTTCTTCCTATCTTTTTTTTCCTTTTTCTTTTTTTCTGTCTTCTTTTTGTTGTTTGTTTGATTGTTGGTTAGTTTGGTTTTTTTTTGCTTCTGTAGTTTCTCTTCTCACTTGTTCTCTTCTACTAAAAGCTTAA